AGAACAGGAATTCCAGAACACTTAATTGTGCTCACGGGGAACCTGAACAAAGATAAAGGGCAGTCGTTCGAACAGAACAAGAGATGCTGCGTGGTTTAAAGTCAAGAAAAGTGTGTGTCAGGGTTGTATCCTTTCACTATACTTATTCAATCTGTATGCTGAGCAAATAATCCGAGAAGCTGGACTATATGAAGAATGTGGCATCAGGATTGGAGAAAGACTCATTAACAACCTGTGATATGCAAATGACACAACTTTGCTTAGCTGAAAGTGAAGAGGACTTGAAGCACTTACTGATGAAGATCAAAGACAGCAGCCTTCAGTATGGATTACACCTCAACATAAAGAAAACAATAATTCTCACAACTGGACCAATATGCAACATCATGATAAACAGAGCAAAAATTGAAGTTGTCAAGGATTTCACTTTACTTGGATCCACAATCAACACCCATGGAAGCAGCTGTCAAGAAATCAAAAGATCATTGCATTGGGCAAATCTGCTGCAAGTGACCTCTTTAAAGTGTTGAAAAGCAAAGATGTCACCTTGAAGACTAAGGTGCATTCTGACCTAAGTCATGGTGTTTTCAATCACCTCCTATGCATGCAAAGCTGGACATTGAATAAGGAAGATCAAAGAAGAACTGATGCCTTTGAATTGTGGTGTTGGCGAAGAATATTGAATATACCATGGACTGCCAAAACAACAAACAAACCAGAATGCTCCTACTCAGATTATCTATTTCTCAGAGTGAGTTTTGGAAGATGTGTCTTTGAATATATTGGCCCATTTCATCTAAGTTATCAAATTGGCTGGCATAGAGTTGTTTATGATATTCTTTTATCTTTTTATTGTCCAAGGGATCAGTAGTGATGACTTCTCTCTCATTTTTGGTATTAGTAATTTGTATCTTCTCTTTGGTTTTTTTTTTTTGGTTAGCTTTGTGTCATGGATTGAATTATGTCCCCCCAAAAAATGTGTTTATCAATTTGGCTGGGGCATAATTCCCAGTATTGTGTGGTTGTCCTCCATTTTGTGGTTGTAATTTTATGTCAAAGAGGATTAGGGTGGGATGGTAACACCCTTACTAAGGTCACATCCCTGATCTAATGTGAAGAGAGTTTCCCTGGGTTGTGGCCTGCACCATCTTTTATCTTACAAGAGATAAAAGGAAAGGGAAGCAAGCAGAGAATTGGGGACCTCATACCACCAAGAAAGCAGTGCCTGGAGCAGAGTGCGTTATTTTGGACGCGGGGTTCCTGTGAGGAGAGGCTCCTAGTCCAGGGGAGGACTGATGAGAACGACCTTCCCCCAGAGCTAACAGAGAAAACCTTCCCCTGGAGCTGATGCCCTGAATTTGGGCTTCTAGTCTACTAGACTGTTAAAGAATAAATTTCTCTTTGTTAAAGCCATCCACTTGTAGTATTTCTATTAGAGCAGCACTAGATGACTAAGACACTTGGCTAGATGTTGATCAATATTATTGGATCTTTTCAAAGAACCAGCTTTTGGTTTGGTGGATTTTTTTCTATTGTTTTCAATTTCATTGATTTCTGCTGTAATTTTTTTCTTCTCATTTTGGATTTAATTTGCTCTTCTTTTTCTAGTTTTCTAAGGTGGAAGCTTATTGATTTTAGAGCTTTCTTCTTTTCTTATATATTCAGTGTTGTAAATTTCCCTCAGCACTGCTTTTGCTGCATCCCCAAAATTCTGATTTTTTCATTTTAAAATTTAAGACTTATTCTTTGACTCACGTGTTTTGTAGAAGTTTATTGTTTAATCTCCTAATATTTTGGGATTCCATATCTGCTACTGATTTCTAGTTTACTTCCATTGTGGTCTGTGAGCATACTTCGTATGAATTTGATTCTTTTAAGTTTGTTACGTTTTATGGCCTAGGATATGAATGTTCCACGTGAACTTGAGAAAAATGTGTATTCTGCTGTTGTTAGATATTCTATAAATGTGAATTAGATCCAGTTGATCGATGGTGCTGATCAAATATATCCTTCCTGATTTTCTGCCTTCTGGATCTGTCAATTTCTGACAGAGGTGTGTTGAAGTCTCTTACTATAATAGTGGATTTGTTTATTTTTCCTTGAAGTTTTATCAGATGTTGCCTCATGTATTTTGATGTTTTGTTCTGTATCTTGACGATGGAGATGGTTACACAAATCTACACATGATAAAATGCTTTGAACTACAGATACACACCAGTACATGTTAAACTGGTGAATCTGAATAAGTACAGTGGATTATATCTATGTCAATTTTCTGTTGTGACATTGTATTATAGTTATGCAAGATGTCACCACTGGGGAAAACTGGGTGAAGGGTACTTGACATCTCTCTGCACTATTTTTTACAATTTCAAGTCAATCTACAATTATTTCAAAAACAGTTTAATGAAAAAATTATATAATAGTTGAGAGTTGAGTATCCATGGCTTGTTCCTGATATTTTTAGGGGAGTGGTCCTAACATTTTACCTCTAAGCATGCTGTTACATATACTATTGGCTAGGTTTATAACTATGCTTTTATACACAAACTACATATATTTATCATGTTAAGGAAATAACTTTTTCTACTAATTTTACCAAGGATTTTTATCAGGTACAAATATTAAACCTTTACTAAAGGTTTTTTTTTTTTTTTTTTTTTTTTAATGACCTCATATTCTTTTTTCTTTTAAAACTTTTTTATTGTTGTAGTTTAAATGTTTACATTTCAAGTTAGTCTCCCATACAAAAATTTACACATACATTGTTATGTGACCCTAATTGCTCTCCCCATTTTGCGACAGCACACCCCTCCTTTCCCTTTCCACCCAATTCCCCATGTCCATTCAACCAGCTCCTAACCCTCTCTGCCTTCCCATCTCACCTCCAGACAGAAGCTGCCCATTTAGTCTCTTGTATCTACTCGAGCTAAGAGACACACTCCTCCTGAGTATCACTTTATCTCTCACAGTCCAGTCCAATCCCTGTCTGAAGAACTGGCCTCGGAAATGGTTTTAGTTCTGGGGTGATAGAGAATCCAGGGGCCATGCTTTCTGGGGTTCCTCCAGTCTCAGTCAGACCATTAAGTCTGGTCTTCTTACGAGAATTTGAGTTCTGCACCCCACCGTTCTCCTGCTCCGTCCGGGACTCTCTGTTGTGTTCCCCGTCGGGGCGGTCATCGGTGGTAGCCAGGCACCATCTAGTTCTTCTGGTCTCAGGCTGATGAAGTCTCTGGTTTATGTGGCCCTTTCTGTCTCTTGGGCTAATA